CCCAAATGCCATTAACCTTGATATTATCAAAGAATTTCATGTCAATGCCAAAACTCCTGAAGATGCACTAGGTCATCATGGGTGAGGGGACAAAAGGTTTCGTTTGATAGAGATGACATGCATGCTCACATAGAAGATAAATATGTAGAGGATCCAATGAGACTAGACTCGTTTGCAATACAACTCCCAAAGGTAACTAGAACTATGATCGGATTGCATACGATATATGCAAAGCTGGGAAAATTCATGAATTAGGATGTGATGGCCATCCCATATGTTTCAAGAGACATGATTTGACCATCCAATCCCAAAATTGGATGACTTCCATTCTCAATAACATATCTCCCTGCAGTCACACGTCCTAAACAACCATGCACACTGCACAATTGATTTTGTATATCATAAAAGCCTGCTTTACGAGCCTGTTTCATACGGTTGGGATATGAGTGAGGCATACCGTATGTAAGTTATCTATTAATGATTCTTTAAACAAGTTATACGGAGGATGCAAGAGCCACTGCTCCCTATGAGCATATACCTACTCAATGGCTTATAAATAGGCCATTCTATTATGAGTGGGGCAATGGTGATGCAAGTAGAAGTAGGACAGCAGAAGAACTAACTCAAGAGAGGGGATAAGAAGAAGATAATGACAAAAAAGATGAAAGACGGAGGAAGAAACTGGTGGTAAGGAGGCAGTTAGCGGAAGAAATGACTAGATCACTACTACACTTCAGCTACCTTACTGTTTAATTTTGTGTTTAATTTATTTTCATTCAGGATAATTTATGCACAATAAGATTTGAGTGTGCTGTTCGTTTTGTACTAAGTGCATAAACACATTAAAACTCTTACTTTCATCTATTGGATACTAATGCCTAGACATAAGATTATGTTTGATATCTACATGTACTTTACCAAAATCAGAGTAGAGTCTTGATGCTTTATAACTGTTAGAACCTAATGTTTTGTGTTAGATTTATAGACCGAGATATCAACTATTAGAAAATACAATGATCTCACATTGTTGAGACTGACAGAAGATACAAATAAAAGCAAAAAACGATAATATTAAAAACTGTTTATAAGAGCATATTATTGATCTATGATTATGCGTGATATATATATATATATATATATATATATATATATATATATATATATATATATATATATATATATATATATATATATATATATATATATAAAATCTACCCAAATAAATTCTCTCATTATTAACACAAAAATTTTCATTTTACTTTTTGTCATCTACTTTCATGTGTGATATATAAAATGACAAAATCTACCTAAACAAATCCTCTCATTATTAACACAAAAATCTGCATTTTACTTTTTATCATCTACTTTCATGTGTGATATATATATATATATATATATATAATGATAAAAAATCTACCCAAACAAATTCTCTCATTATTAACACAAAAATCTTCATTTTACTTTTTGTCATCTACTTTCATATGTGAAAACAAATATTAATCCTTTGTCTACTTATATTAAACCTTTGTCTACTTATAATCATAAAAATTGTTTAATAGTCTTTAAACACTACCGGTCTCTGTAGATAAAATACTTATAAAACTTAATATTTTGCTCGCAACATATATAAAACACATTTTTTCTTGAAGGTGTATTTTATGTTTATAAAATAAACCAATATTATAAGAATTTATTAGAATAAAGTGCATACATAATATGGTATATTTCCCCTGTTGATGTGGGATATGTAACTTTTTAATTTATGCTTCAAGCTGGGGTCTGAATGTAAGCCTTAACCTGGAAAAATGAGAAGATATGGTTAATTTGATATGTAAATTATCAAAACTCCTATGTTATTTATGGGCAAGGCAGTAAGCATGTCTTTATGTAATTAACTAAATACATATAGTGCTTGAGAATTAGTTTTCTATTATCATGTGTATATTTAAATAAATAAACGAGCATTTAACAATGGTAAAAATCTCATATTACCAAATATTTATAATACCTAGTGCTTAAAAATTGTGTTGTAGCCATATGCAATGCATATTTTCATCTTTTGGAAGTCAATCAATAAACTTTTAGAATTCCGTAGGTAATACCAAATCAATCTATGACTATAACTATATCATTGTTTGTTGGTGAAACTGGAGAGCCCCAATGGTAGGGCCTTCCAAAATTGACCCCAATAAAATTCATTCAAATTCAGAATTTTCATCTTAATCTTAAAGCTCACACTTCTCATGCTTACAAACAAACACAAAAACTCATAATCTTCACCATTCAATCTCATAACTATCAAAGGCTGAAAATTCCTCCCTCTCATTCACATGGATCCAGCCCCTTTTTGTGGCTCCAGTTCTCCCTCCAGAATTTCATTCTCCACACCTATATAAACCACACTTCAGTTCACAAGAGGAGAAGAAAAATTAGAAAGTCAGAAGAAATTGAAGAAAACAATACTGTCAAACATAATTTTCCCCAAGCAAAAGTTACCAGCAAAAGTTACCAGATTCAAATCAAAGTATAGTAGAGGAAGAGAAGATTAATTTTTAAGCTTACCGTGCATATCATAATCATATATTCTCTGGATTTCTCTTCTTTGATTCTTCAGCATCAAATACTCAACAACTTCCGACGAAAATCTCATTGTCGTTGGTAACTTTTTTCTCCTTCCATTTACATCTATTATGATTGTTATGTTGAATGTT